AGCAATCAAGAACTAACAAAAATGGATTTTAACTTTCAACAATGAATATTTTTCATGCAAAGAACAGAGTACGTTCTGATTTTTGAAGATATGGTCAACTATATTTCTTCTCCATAATTCCTATTGGAACCCCTTTTTTTTTTTTTTTTTTTTTTTGGGTGTATTTGGTTGCCTTGTGTCTGAAGCTCCTCCATGCATGGACTCTCTTAGACCAGGACTTGTCAAAGGTTCACAACGTGGATTGGTTGATGATGGCTACTGAATTAAACTACTCCATTCAGACTTGCTGACTGCATTTTGAAGTGTGGTATCAGTGTTAGAAAAATAATATTGAAAAAAGAAAAAAGAAAAAAAAACACTTTGAAACTTACGCATTCAACAATCCACATAGTTTGCGGTCTCGGGTGATTCCTAGTTTGATTGGAAGAGGGTGAATGATTTTGTCATGATAAGACAGAAATGAAGGAGTAAATGGCAGGATTTAGAAACTGATTAATTTCATTCAAATCTTCTTACAGATTCTAGATAGTTAGTTTATTTATCGAGAAGACTTACGTGTATACTTGTTGTTGCCTTACTTTTGTTTTTTCTTATTAAAATAAGAACGAATTTATAATATTACAAGACTTTTAGGCATTAAGTTAATAATATAAGCGTCAACCAGGTGAGGTGAGGCAACACGTCAAGTAAGAAACGAATGGTTGCACATTTGAATGATTTCTAATTTTCTATAACTTTATTTAGCTGATAATTTACGTGAGGGATAATTGCATTAAAAATACATTAATTTTAATATTTTTTAATAAATTTTATTTTTTTTCGTTTGAATATTCCGTTGTTACGTCAGTCAAGTATTTTTGTCAAAAAATTTTATAATATCCAATGAGTATCTATTAATACTTATTTTATGAATTCACTTTAAAGAAAAAGATAAATATAAACATAATAAAAAAAAATTGCATTCAAATTCATGTGATAAAAATATTTCTATTTAAACTAAAAAATATAATATTTTTAAATTCACTCATTTGTTACAAAATCATAATTTAATAATCAAGAACAAATAAGAATCGAGTATTTTTATCCAATTTTTGTCAATTGCTCCATTATATGATGACGTATCATTTGCCTATGACTCGTTAAATTATAATTTTGCGATTTTATTTATAAGGAGAACTTTTTTTATAAAATTATTATACTCTTTTTCTATCTTTTGAATATAAGAAAAACTTGCAGATATATTATACAAAAAAATATGAAAGAGCAAAATAATTTAGAAGGAAAATTTTTCTCTTAAAAATGAGAGGTTAAAATTATAATTTAGGTATGGAGCAAATGATATATCATCAAATAACAGAAAAATTGACATAAATTGGACAAAAATTATTTGATTGTCAATTTAAAAAAAATAATTAATGTATTTGAATAAAAAGATTAAAATTCATATATTCAATTGCAAAATATTAAAAAATTAGTATATTTATAAATACAATTATTTCTTCGTCGTGCTCATGCATAGAATGTGGGCTAGACTGCTAGTTAGATTTGTCTAGAAAAAAATAAAAGAAAATGAAAATGATATTTATTAAAATTAGGTAGGAGATGAACATCATAAATCATAAATTAACGATATATTGACTAACAACATCCTTTTCTTTTCTTTTTAAACAATTATTTATTATATTAGTTTTTAGGGTGCATATAGCATGTGTAGGATCGTCTATATTACAAAATCAAGTGTGAAACACTTTATGGTAATTAATTTTTTAAATTGCAGTTTGAAAATGGACCGAACTTCGAAATTGTTATGAGTACATATTTAATATGATTAGCAAATAGATTTCTCGAAGTTAAGATATTTAAGCTTGGGTAACAAAAAAACTAAAAAAAAAAAAAAAAACATAAAAACGCCTGAGATTTGGAACTGGCACAAAACGCAAGATTTTACCATCTTTTACTGTCAGTGGGTTGAAGGTTGAGAATTGACGTTACTGCATACTGAAAAAAAAAAAAAAAAAAAAGAAACCACAGTTCTCCCGTTTGCAATTTGCAAAGCTGGGAAGAGCAGCATGCATCCAGTTACCCCACTTTTCTTTGCCTAACTCGGTATAACTACAATTCAGGCTACAAACTGTATATTCATAACAGATCAGTCCCCAACTCTTAAAATCGTGCTAATTTCTCCCCAAGCGCTTTCTTTTGTTTAACATATTCATCTACAAGTCAATTTACCATAAAATCATAAAAAGTGATTGCGAAACTTGGAACCAAAATGGAATTTATAAAGATCACTCCTGTAAATAATGTTATAATATTATATTTTAATTACATGACTAAAGTAGCATAAATTAAATTTTTCGTTTTGTTGACTCAGAAAATAAATTATAATAAATTGACTTAATAAAACAAAAATTTGCATTTCATTATATATATATATATATATATATATATATATAAGTAATGGAGTATCCTCATGCCAACTTTAGTATTAACCAAGGCTAAATCCATCGGTTTCTAGACTAAGTCATCATCGGAATATGTTTAACTTTTGGTCGATCATTGGTCGTTTCTTACTTTTAGACCAAATCGGTGTAAATATGATATTAATAAGAAATAATTATGATTAATTATTTGTGAATAGTAAAAATAATAATTATTACTAGTTACCTATAAATAATAAACATTAAATTTTAATTTTGATCAAATCAAAATAATTCTCTTAGACCAATTTACATTACCATAAAATTATAAAAAGTGATTGCGAAACTTGGAATAAAAATGGAATTTATAAAGATTTCTTCTGTAAATAAGGTTATAATATTATATTTTAAGTACATGATTGCAGCATAAATTAAAATTTTCGTTTTCTTGACTCGGAAAATAAATTAATTATAATTTGATTTAATAAAACAAAAAATTTGCATTTCAATTATATATATATAGGTAGTGGTTCTTTATGTTAACTTTAGTATCAATCGAAACTAAATTTATTACTTTTTAGATTGAGTAAATATCAGAATATATTCAACTTTTGATTGATCATTGACTATTTCTTACTTTTAAACCAAATCAGTTTAAATCTGATATTAATAAAAAATAATTATAACTGATTATTTGTAAATAGTAAAAATAACAATAATTATTAATTATTTATAAATAATAAAAATTAAATTTTAATTTTGATCCAATCAAAACAATTATCTGAAACCACATCCGTTAGCTAAGTATCCTTTGTCTTTGCATTTCAATTAAAATGAGTGTCGCGATCATTATTTCCACTTTTTTTTTTTTTTTTTTTTCAATTGCAGTCATTCTTTTTTGTGAGGTCAAAGAAATGATAAAAAAAATCTCATGTCTCTACACTGTCAATTTGTCTTTGCAATAAATTTTACATTACCATAAAATTATAAAAAGTGATTGCGAAACGTGGAATAAAAATGGAATTTATAAAGATCACTTCTGTAAATAATGTTATAATATTAAATTTTAATTAAACGACTAAAGAAGCATAAATTAAAATTTTAGTTTTGTTGACTCAGAAAATAAATTATAATAAATAGGCTTAATAAAACAAAGAATTTGCATTTATTTTTTTTAATATTTATAAGAAGTGGAGTATTCTCATGTTAACTTTAGTATCAACTAAAACTAAGTCTATTACTTTTTAGATTAAATCAACACTAAAATACGTTTAACTTTCAATCAACTACTAATTGCTTTTTATTTTTAAACTAAATCCTTACAAATCTGATATTACGAAAAAATAATTATAATTAATTATTCATAAATAGTGAAAATAATAATTATTGTTAGTTAACTGTGAATAATAAAAATTAAATTTTGATTATGATTAAATCAATATAATTCTTTTGACATCAGACTACATTCCTCGGCTAAGTATCATTGGTCTTTGCATTTCAATTAAAATGAGTGTCGTGGTCATTATTTCCATTTTTTTCAATTGTAGTCATCCTTTTTTATAAAGTCAAAGAAATGATTAAAAAAAAAAAAAAACCTCACGTCTCTTCACTGTCAATTTGTCTTTGCAACAAATTTTATCTTATATTATATCCTATTTTAAAATATCAAAGAATCCTTTCAATTTAAAAGAGTATGGTTTTATTATATTTACTAGCACACTTTCAAGGAAAAAAAAAAAATAGAAGTGGTAAGATTTGAAATGGTGAGTTTTGACTATTTGGTCATTAAAATGAAACCCTAGAATGTGGTTTTATTACATTTACTAACAAAAAGCAAATTTATATACACATCAATGTCAATACGATCATAATATTTTATGATTACAAATGTAAAAATAAAATAAAAAATTATTCAAATACGAAGAAGTTAAATGTAAGAAAGGCAATGCTTGTCAATTAATAGAATAAAATTGTTTTATTTACACTTTATTCCAACTCGTGTACTTTAAACTATAATATTACAGCATTTTATTCTTAAAAGATAATTTAACAAGTTCAATAATTTTTTGCCGGAGATTGATGGGGAATGAACTTGTTAGTCCAGAAAAAGTATGAAGAGAAATTAGCAAGATTTTGTATGATCTGTTTGTGTCTGTTTAGGTTGAGACTCGAGAGTGATTGGTAGCTACTATTATTTCTCAGCCACACCTTAGAAAATATTTTTAATGTCTTGACAATGGTTGTTAATTATTGAAGCAAAGCAACGGACTCCTTCAACTAAACTAATCACAACCACCTATTCATATTGTATAGCTTATTAAGCAAAATATTATATTATACAAATTGGAATGGAGTAAAAAAGATTATATATATTACTACAAACATCCAATCGATCGCGTCAAAATCCGCTGGTTTTTGCCATTGCCCGGTTCCCATCTATTCCCTTCTTATTTTACTTCGAGATATCTGTTTTTCATTATCAATTTGTACCATACCATGCTCTGTTATTAGTACAACAAATTTCAAAATTCCAAAAGAATTATTTGTACTTTCGAAAATGAAGTTCTTTTTTTGTGGCTCATGTTTTTCTCTTCTGAATCAAAAGCCACCATCACGAAGAATAGTAGCAACTGGCCAGGTACAAGAATTTTAGATGTTGATGTTCTCCCTTGTAGCCATTTGGGTTCTGTTTTTGCTGAGTCATATTGGTTTCTCAATATGGTTTGGTGGGTTCTTGATTCACTTTCATTTTTCTTGTCCTCCATTTTATTATCAGATCTTGATTGATTTCTCTACAAAAACCAGGTGAAGAAAGTCATGCCAACTTGCGCTTATTCTCTTCTAATGAACTCAAAATTGCCACCCAAAACTTCTCTTCCTCTAACAAGATTGGAGAAGGTAGCTCTGGCTCTGTGTACAAGGTGAAAGATTCTTTATTTTCCTTCCATATCAGTTTCTTTTTCTTGGATATCTTTTTTTCTTTAGGAGGTAATGCTAATTTGGGTTTTTTTTTTTTTTTTGTTTGACTTTGAAGGGTTGGCTGGAGAATGGTTCTGTAGTGGCTGTGAAGGTTCTTTCAGTTGAAATTGAATCTATGCGTGGAGAGAGAGAATTCGTGTCTGAGTTAGCTGCACTGTCTGATATCAAACATGAAAATCTGGTTACACTTCAAGGATGTTGTGTTGATGGAGCCAATAGATATTTGGTCTATGATTACCTGGAAAACAACAGCCTCCTATGTACTTTACTAGGTAATAGTCCATTTTGTGTTTTCATAGTTCCTTTTTTTTTTTTTTTTTTTTTGTCTCTTTAAAGAGTAGAGAACTAAAGAGTTGATGATATGATTGGGAAAATTTATCTGTTATGTGTCTTGATTGATTAATAGGACAAGTGCAAAACAGGATCAAATTCAGTTGGGAAGCAAGGCGTGCTATTTCGTTGGGAGTTGCTCGTGGTATTGCTCATCTTCATGAGGTGGTTCAACCCCATATTTTGCATCGAGATATAAAGGCTAGCAACATACTTCTTGATCAAAATTTTACACCGAAAGTGTCAGATTTTGGTCTTTCAAGACTACTTAGAGACAATACATCTCATATCAGTACTCATGTTGCCGGGACATTGTAAGTGGAATCCCTTAGTACATTAGATTCTTGTTTTTTGATTTGATTGTTCGGCAAATGTTAATACAGCTAATGAGGTTTCTTGTGATCACAAATGCAAAAGTGGATACCTTGCTCCAGAATATGCTGTCACCGGACACATGACACGGAAATCGGATGTTTACAGTTTCGGAGTGCTACTAATGGAAATTATCAGTGGCCGACCGGTGGTGGATTTTGACTTAGAACATGGTGAACACTACCTTGTTCAAAAGGTAAAAATGTTGGAGCAATCAATGAATCAATAATGCAGAGCAGCATTTTTTTTAGCATGTAGAAGTAAAGCTTTGTTGTGTGTGAATTTGCAGGCATGGGAAGCCTACGAGGGCAACAATCTTCTGCAGATAGTTGACCCTGTTCTCCATATGGACTTCCCAGAAGAAGAAGCACTCCGATTCTTAATGGTTGGCCTACTTTGCGTGCAAGAAACTGCCAAGCTTCGCCCACTTATGTCGACCACAGTTAAAATGTTGACCAATGAAAATGACATCAAAGATGTTCAAATTTCACAACCAGGGCTTCTTTCTGATCTGATGGATATCAGATTACGACAGAAGCACTCATCTCAGAGGACACAGACCACATTTTCCAGGGGCTCAACCTCAACGAGCATGCATAGTAGTAGCTATTTTTGATTTGGTAATTCTTGTTCTTTAACCCCCCAAGAAAAAAAAGGAAAAGAAAATTTTCATTTCTATACAGTGGAGTATAGATTGGTTGATTTGTCGATCATTGGATCAATTTCACTAGTTGAAAAAAGAAAAAAAAAAAACCAGGAGTATGGAATGGGCATGAACCAGCAGGAAACCGAGGATACCAGCAGCTTCTTTAACCATTTTATTCTTCACGTAAAGATGTACGTCTTTTGTCGTATCTTTATACTTCGAAGTACGAAAAAATGGCAAGGGTCTTGTCTAAGCCTGAAGATGATCTCCCTAAAAAACAAACGCGGCTACCAGATAGCGAGTAAATTATAAATTAGTTCACCTGGTTTCAAGAAAGGAATTAATTAGTTCTTTTGTTTCAAAATTAGTCATTTAGTCTTCATATTTTTTACTTATAACTTAGCTTTTTTAATTCTTTTTAAATTTATTTTAATTTAAAAAAATAGAAAAACGAAAAAAAACGAAAAGATAAAAGAAAAAAAGGCATTTTATGAAATAAAAATGATATTAAATTAAATATGATTAACATTGATTGAATGATTACATGATAATATATATATAAAATAATTAATTTATTTCTTGAAACAAAAGTAATTAATTTATAATTTACTCATTGGATAGCAGACAAGATCAAGCTTCACACAAGGTCCCAAAAAATGGGGAAAAAAAGGTGTTTCGTAATTATTCAGTCATTAAACTAACCGGACAGGTGTCCTATAATGCAAATTAATGAAGCCTTTAATGGTTGAATTATGGATTACCATTATTTGTATTTGTTCAACCGAGAGAAATCGATCTCACTGTGGATATGATGGTTTGCGTGTCAAAATCAAGCTGGTGGCTGGAAATATGAAAGTGAAGCTATTTAGGCTTGACTTTTTTCCACCAAGAGCATTAATTCTTGTTTCTGTCCGTCAAGTTGGATGCATGCCATACCCAAAAGCCCGCAGCCTTCAAGTTTCCCTTAATCCACGACACAGTTCAGCTTTCTAAACATGACATGGCCCGGCTTAGCACATCATGATTTGGCTTGACGTTGACCTGATCTTAATGAGGCTTCAATCAAACCACTTGACAGTGAAAATAAAACTTTGTAATGGGATTAGAAGAAATCCTTATGACATGCGATGGAATGTACATGCATATAACTCCTTCCTACTTTTGATTGAACAATGTTCCCTTACCTGATGAATAACTCGCAGCACTGCATGCATGACTCCTCGCACGCCATCCACCAAGGCCATCGATATTCTGATAAGCTTTGCAAATGGCATGCAGGGAGCCAGGCACACAGGGATCTCACACGGGCACATATATATTTTAGTCTTCATTAATATATGAAGAATGAAAAATTTTGCATTTGTATTGATTTATCTATGCATTATATGCTGCAACTTCAAAAGTTCAAACCAGAAAAGAGATGTTGCATGCCATAAAAATTGATCACCACCTGGAAATACTGAGACATGAAAGTTCCTGCAGCTTGGAAGCACCATACAAGCTGCACCGGCATTGCAAGAGGAAAGCATGGATAAATAGGTCTCTTTTGCCAAAGTGGGACAATCAAGTCGGCTTCTACGGGATTGTTCACACCATACCTCCTCTTGTTCTTCATTGTTTGCAACCAACTAGCTTTTGAGCTGTATTTTTGGCACATAACAAACAGACTAAAGAGAAAGCACTTTACCTGAAAGACTCTTTCTTTCTATATTTTGCCTCTAAATATGGTGAAGGCTATAGAGATATGCGTGCCTAAGAGAGTAATGAGGAAGTTTTGAGGAGATAGAAAGAGTGATGCATGAGGTTCGCAATTGGGAATTTTTTTTTTTTTTTTTTTTTCAGGCTGATAAAGCAACGGCTCGTTTCCTTTTCTGAAACTGAAATGTCTGGGAGTGCTTGGATGACTTCGGATTCTCCATACCGCTCCTGGATTTTCTAGACAACCACGTCTATGTCATGGCTTGCACTTACTTTTCTCCCTTCTCCTCATCCTTTATCATCTTCACCATTCTCCTCTGTCTTCCTTCTCCATCACACAAGCACAAATTCCTCTGCTTGCCTGTGTTTTGACTACAAATTAAGTTTTATTGTTTACTGAACTTCAATTTACTATGTAATTTTCACCATTAAAGAGAGAAGGGGGGGGGGGGGTGGCGCTGGAGAAAGATGGTTCTTCACAGGGGACTTAATCCTCTGATTAGAGCAGAATGATCTTCCAATAATTCAATGTCAAGTTGACAGAAAGGGCTGCTATGTTTCTGGAAAATGCTTTACAGGAATGAAAGGACTCTAAAGTGTGGGTCCTTCCCTTCTGTCTGAAACCAGAGTTCAGCGCTCACAATTGTTGGCACCACCTTTGTGTTTGAACGGTTTTTGTGATCTTCTTGGCTCAGATTCTCCCCTCTATTCCTTCTGCAGCAGGGATTCCAAACCAGCATCTTCCCCTCTTTTCCACAACTCTAGCTCTTGTCACTATTTATAAGCTCTCCCAAAGCTATTCCATTTGTTCATTATAATCATAAGGGTTGGGTTTTTTTTAAGCTATTGCAAGTTTCGAAATGCTTGACCATACACTAAACAGATCGAGTCAAAACTCCTGTTCTGAATATATGAAATCAACAACTTTTAGCTCAATCCTATGAGATCATCAACATAATTATAGAAACTTTTCTGGAAAAAAAGATGGTTCCACCCTGTTGACTGTTGAGGAAACAAATTAAGGTCGAATATCGGACCCTGATTTTGCTCCAAGTTGATTGTTTTCGCCTTACCAATCAAGCAGCTTTATGAAGGGTTGATAAAGGGGATTCGATCCTCTCCAATAATTTTTACCCCACAGAAAATATCCCAAGAGCACTAAGATCCAGTCATGCCAATGAAATTTGCTTTAAAAAAATTAATATCCAGGATCCAATATCTAACAAGTTGCACAACCTCTTTTCAGATAGACTTGTTAATCAACTACTTATCAATGCATCCGTTAAGAATGCTTTAAAGAAAACACTGAGACTTCATAAGTTAAAATTAAAGAGATAGAGATTGAGAAACTGTTTTTATAAAAGGGAACGTGGAGCTGACTTGACCATATTTAATTTCTCTCACTGTCATGACTACCACAATCTGCAGTCAACTTCCTTTTGCATCAGGATGTTAAACGCTTTCAGAGCTTACACAGTCTGTTCCTGATCATGTTGGTACATATGTGGTCCAGTTGCATGTGCACGTGTGCGTGGATAATTAATTAACCTATAGAGATCATGGTCTGAAAACAAGAATTCCCTTTGCTAGCAATTTACAATATTTTTTATCAACTGAAATTGGAAGGATAATAAATCTAAATTTAGATTCCCAAGCATATGAGCATGAGGACCACCGAAGGATTATCAGTCGTGGGGCGGTTGATTGAAAATTGACAAAGACTGCATTGGGGAACTCTTCGTTTTTATGGTTCATGCAATTTCTGGGCTTGGAATTCAAGTTTGGACTGATTTATCAGAATTTGTCCTAGTCTGCAACAAGGCATTGATGTCCTGTGTTCAGAAGGGCAAACTTGTTGTAATAACTTCCAAGAAGATGAAAAAAAGTAGAATCAAGTAAAAATCGAAGCCCATTTATATTTATAAAAGAACATGAAGAAACAAAGAGAAAAATGGGAAGAGGGGTATTGCAGCAACATCATATACGAAAATGCTCAAGACAAAAAATATACATTTGCCGCATATGTAGCAGTTACTTAGTAGTGAAGGTTTTGTTATGTTTCCTCTTTCATCACATCAAATTTCAATCAACATCGAAGGATCCAGTCTTAAGACTACAAGATCAGTCCATCCTTCATAATTTGCTCTAACCAAGTTGCCACATCTGACATGGTAGGTCGCTCATTAGGATTTTCCCTCACAGCCAATTCTGCTATATCAGCAAGTTTCAGTAGGGGCTCAACATTCCTCGGAAGAGCCACATATCGATCAATTATGGCAGCTGTTTGACCCTGTTTAACTAATGGCACTGCCCAGTCAACAATATTTGGTGGAATGTAATCTCCATCATATGCTTTTCTTCCACTAAGAACCTCTAGCAGTACAATTCCAAACTTGTATACGTCACCTTTCGTGTCTCCACCAAGATCCTTCTCATTTGCTGAAAGAAGCCCAAAATCTGCAATTCGTGCCCCCAGTCAGAATCCAAAAGAATGTTTGAAGTCTTGACATTGCGATGAACAATTGGCGGTTCGGCTTCCTTGTGAAGGTACTCAAGTCCCTTTGCAGCCTGCATCGAATTCTTCAACCTAAGGCTCCAATTCAGAGGAGAGAGCCCACTATGGAGGTGATCATGAAGCGTGCCATGGGGCATATACTCGTAGACAAGTAGCCTTTCTCCCATTTCTGAGCAGTAACCTAACAAATTCACAATATAGCAATGCCGAACATTGCAGAGGACCTCCAATTCCATGTCAAAATCCCTGCTGTTAGAGTGAATTATCGTGGCAGCATTTGCCCTCTTGACTGCAACCTGTCTCCCGTCAGCTAGAACTGCTTTATAAACAAAACCATAGCTTCCTCGACCAAGCTCATTGAACTCTTTGAATCCATTGGTGGCATCTTTTAGCTCTGATAGTCGGAAAACTTGAGCCATCCCAGGACAAGGAGCGATGCATTGAGGAGGGTATGAATCAGAAGCAATGTTAGTTTCCAACTCTGGCTTGCCTATACAAGAATTAAAATGTTTCTTTGATCCTTCTTCATTTCGAGCGGAAGAAAAACATGAAAGAATACACCAGCTAACTGATATCAACAGCAAACCCAAAGCAGAAGACCCAATTATGATTGCTAATCTGTGCAAGTTGTGCCCTTGCTTTTCAGTAGATGATTGCAGCCCACAAACATCCCAACAAGAACTATTCTGGCAAAGGGAACAAGCTGTGCACACTCTGTCAGCATTCTCAGAACATGGACTAGACAAGAAAAAACCTCGAGAACAATTTGACCCACATGGAGAACAAATCTTTAAATCCTTTCTAACGCACAAGCTTGTCAAATCCGGTTCATTTAGAATGCTTGCATTGAAAACAAACTCCCCTTCACTGCAAGAACGAGGACTACATAGCCCTGGACTGCACAACTCCAAAGGAGGACTATAATCTGGTGGTAGTGTCCCATTGGCAAACCAGCAATCAATAACCAAATCATCTTCCCTGATCCCACATGTCGTGAAATCAGACGAAGCAATCGCCATAAACCCAGAACCACCCTTTGGGATTGAAGATGAATTGAAACTTCCCCAACACTCGACTGCGTGATTATCCTCCCTAATTCCACAGAAATGGTTAGTTCCAGCAGTTAACGACACAAAACGAGTCCCAACCGGAGGGGATGAATATGAATCAGTATTACTGCCCCAACATTTGATATCATTAGACCCTTCCAAGATCCCACAAACAGAACCCCTCCCTGAAGCTAAAACCATGTAATTCTCTGATAACCTCGAAACCCCCAACCTATCTTTGTTTGGTCCCCAACAGACAACCCCTCCATCTCTAAACCCACCACAACTAAACCCTTCACCAGAAACAACCTTATCAAACACAAGGTTACTAATAGATTGGTCATAAAAAACAACGGTGCCCTGTACAGAAGTTGAACTATTATTAGCACCATTGATAATATTCCAACAATCAATCGTACCTGAATCATGATCAGAATAATAAGATCCTCTAATAGCACAGACATGATTTTTTCCTGCTGCAATATGAGAATAAGCTGTGTTTCTATAAACTGAAGGAACAAGATCCAGACCTGAATAAACTGAACTCCAACAGAATACTTGTGAATTATTATCTAAGATTCCGCAAAGAAATCCTTCGCCACCGGATACAGCTGCTGTGGGGCCAAGGTTACTAAAATAAGCAGGTGTCGAAGCCGGTGATGATGATGATGATGGCAAAGTGTCATTATTTATCCAACAAATAACATTTTGCTTGCCACTCGCGTCGATGGCGCAGAAGAAGGAATTGTCGCCAAATGCAGCAGAGATGGTGCCCATAGATCCGAAACCAGATGCAGAAATACAAGAGAGAAGGAGGAGAAAGAGGATAATTAAGAAAGACTGTAATTGCATGGTTTAAAGGAAGTGAAGCGGTGGATATGGAGCTGCAGGAATTTCATGGACTAGAGCTGTGACTGGAGACTGCTTGCAAATTGGGGTTTTAGCTGCTGCTGGACTTAGAGCTGTGATTTTGTTGATGATGATATTGTAATGTTTTTGAGGGACGGGAAAGAAACGTGGGTGTCGTCGCCATTTTTACAGTTTTGTTTGTTGGCGTAGACCAGACCGTTAGAACTTGAAAAATGTACTACGTGAGTCTTACCGCCAATTATTTGGATAATAAAATTGATAATCGAGAGTTAAATTAAATTTCTTTGAAATCCACAATTTTGCACTTAGCCTTATTAATTGGAGTAAATGTTTTACTAGAAAGAATTTACTGATTATTTTTCTTTGCTAAAAGCTAATGAAGTTGTCTAAAATGTTGTTTGGTAATCAAGAATATAGTGATGAGAATGTAAATGGAAGTTTTATTCTTATATTGTAGATTGTTTGATAAGAAGAAATGAAGTGGAAATAAGAATGAGGAGTGAGAATGAAAATAAAAATTTACAACAACTTTATTCTTATATAAGATGGGAGAATAAAAATTAAGAAATGAGAATGTAATTTTTTTTTCAAAATTATAATACATTTTATTTATTTATTTATCGTCTATTAACTACTTTTATCACCATCATAACCATCGTCGCCGCCACCACCACCGTCATTACAACCACCACCGTTGCCGTAACCACCACCACCATCGCAATAACTATTACCGCCACCACCACTAGAACTACCATTGCCATCACCACCACTACCATCACCTTTATTATTTTTACAGCTATTATAGTTTGATAAAATTATTTTTTAATCATTATTTTTATTTGTATAAAAAATCATATATTAAAAAATTTAAATTACATTCGGATTCCTCATCGGCATTCCAAACACGAGTATGAGAATACAAATGATATTCTAATTCCTTACTTTTCATTCGATTCATGCATTTTCATTATGAACTTTTTATTCTTTATAATCAAACGAAACCTAAGTTTATTTATTGTACATGTTAAGGATATTTATGATCCTTATACTATAAGTATATAATTGATTAATTGTACCGATTTTGTTTTATTAATCAGATTTTTTATGTCAAATTTAAGTGTTAATTGGATCCAAATCAATTTGTTTAATATGATTCTCTATCAAAAACATGTAATTGATGACGTTAAGTAAATTACATAATTAAATAACATGTGTCCTTTGACTTCATGAACCTACGGTAGTTATTTTTTCTTTTTCTTTTTATTACATAAAGCATTTATTGAAATTAGATTTTTTTGTTCCTCGAACTTCAATAATGCATTTTGTAATTAAAATGTTGATGAATCTTTAGTTTTATTTTTTTTTAATTTTTTCTAATTTCAATAAATACTTTATGTTAATAAAAAATGGAATGAAAAAATAATTTTGAAAAAAACCAATTTCAATAAATTTTTAATGTAATAAAAAACGTGATGAATTTTTAATTTTTTTAAAAAAATCAATAAATGTTTTGTGCAATAAAAAATGAGAAGAAAAAATAACTAACGAAATCAAAGACGCATATCTCTTGATTATGCAATTTACTTAATGCAATTAGTGACGTCACAAAATGAAGATCCACGTTCAAGAAATTGATTCAATTACTTAAGTTGGTCAAGGGACTAGAATAATTAATTATTTGCAGTACATGAATCGCACGGATCATTAAGTCTTTATTATACTACATTTGTTATTGGATTTTATTAAAAAGAGAATCGACATGGAATATTTAAATATTATTTTATACGGTAATAATACTTTTAATTTATGAATATAAATTATATAACAAATTAGAAAAATAAAAATTGATTTAAAACATTAAATGATTGCTTGAAAAGATTATTACAAATATCCTAAAGATATCAATTAGCAAGTTCAAATCCAAAAACTTTTAAGTAGAGGAGGATATAAATGTTCGTACGTAGAGTTATAAATTTATAGGCAATTATAATTTATTTACTTCATGCTCCTTCAGTTTAGTAAACGAATAGTAACATAGCAATCAATATGAGACTTATGTCGACATTCAGAAGACACATAAAGATCCCATGCAAAAATCAGAGGAGACAGTCAACAGCATGGTAATGCAAAATGAAATTGAGAGTTAGCATATCTTAAAAAACAAAACATATGAGAGTTGGTACATGCCCAGTCATAAATGCACCAACCAATTTTTTTATAATAAATTAATGCAGCAGCTTCCTACCCCAACTTCTTACCATGAATTAATGCACCATTTGTGAACCACCTAATATAAATTAGTACCTCTTCCATTTGTAAGTATTCAGCAATTGAGTAAAAGCGATGTTCGTAATTAAAATGTTCATTGAGGAAGAGATGTTGGATCACATTAGACATACCACCACACCTATATAAGTATAAGATATTCTCGCAATCTGTTTTTCTAAAAGAAAAATGATATGCAACTTCAGCTAATGGAGAATGATTTTATGTCTACCATACACGTGGTAAGACAATAAATGACTTTTTTTTTTTTATGAAAGTAAAGTCTCTTTGTCGCGAGATTTTTGAGTTGGATCCAAAATCCAAAATTAGATATGATAGAGTGAGGTGAATCACCATCCACGGGTTAAAACACGAGTGTAAAGGTTTTATCACGACAATTCAAGGATGATATATCCAACCTTCGCTTGAAGATTTGGAGAACCTATTAGCCAATCAGAAAACTTTAGCCATGCAGATTGCTGGAGTTTCGCTAAAGAATGAGGAAAAGGTACTATTTAGCCATACATGTTTGCAATATCAAGCCAAAAAAAAAAAAAAAAAGATGAATAAGATAGTGAAGAAGAATGAGGCAAGAAAGCATAATTTGCAGTGAGTCATGAAGACGATGAATATGAAGAAGAGTGAAGTATAGAAGGGTCGTTTACTTTAACAACATTAGTGAATGAAGAAAATTTCTTAAAGAAATCATATGTTAGATTGCTAGACATAACGACTGTAGAAGAAGAAGAGTTGTTAGATGAAGACGATGATTTGGTGGAAAGTAATACATTTGATTCTGAGGTGATGGAAGAGTATACAAGTTCAACTAGCGAGGGACAGTTGGAAGAAGAAAGTTGTTTACAGATCATTATGCATTACGAAGCTTAAACTACACCTAGTGAAGAAGATTCAATACATTTGTAAGTAGTAGAGGTATTGCAGCTACAAGTATTAATGGAAGAAACTCACCTATTGGAGCCAACATCACATGATGAGACATTGAAGAATGTCAAGTGGCTAGAAGCCATGGAGAAAGAAATGCACATCTTAAATTATAAAGAGAATGATGTCTTAGAAGAGAAACTTGATGACGGTTGCAAATGGCTCGATAAGGTAAATAAACCACCAGATAAGCTGGATGATGATCAAGTGGCAGATACTTTCATCAGTGGTCTCGACGAAACCAAGCTCATGACATTTCAAGGAGAACTTGGACTCTATTCAAGGGAAGTCCCGTTAGTGAGTGTTGAGGGAGAATGTTAGAAAATCAAGTGTGCCATAAATTGATTTGATATTACAATCAATTGATCTAGTGAAACCACTCTAAAGTTAGTGTTAATTCGATCCTAAAATATCTTATTTATGTCTGATTACATTGGTATCAGAGTCTATTGAGTAGTTTCCAGGATCAAATTATAATTTTATGGTGTGTTCTTGAATTTTTCATATATGATAACTTTTCTACTTTGAGATAATTTTTAATTATGCTAGAGTACATGTCAGTAACTGAAATTAATATGTTCTTGTTGTATGAAATGTGAACTTTACAACGAATAAAACAAAATTAAATTTTGTTAATGATAGAGAATTCACAAAGTTGGCTAGTTGGAAATTGTTTTTTGGAAATGAGAAAAAGAACAAGTACTATTCACCCGCTCACTCTAAAATTCAAACACTAACCTTAGAGTTTTATTTTTTATTTTTTAAGAAAACCAATTGCACCAAGGAACCTTTTATCAAAAAAATAAAAATTATTGGTAATTTGAAATTATTTTTGAGGTCTAGAAATGTTTATTATGAATTTTTCTTTAGAAAATTATCAAAAAAATCATAATAATTAATATGGTGTGAATTAAATTGTAAAAGTTTTTGGGAAATTCATATATATATGTGTGTGTGTGTGAACATAACGGTGGACCAGAATTGAATTTTTAATATTATAAGGAATTTATTTCAATTATTGTTATAAAAAGAGTAAGAAATTCATTAATAATTAATATTTTAATGAAATAAATTCCAAGAAAATTCCAAAATAAAAAAATATGCAATGCTCAGTGTGGCTAAGGTCTAGAAATGAATTTTTTCACAATTCTGGAATTGATTCCAAAATTTTAATAAGTTTTAAAAGACATAATAATAAATAAATAAAATAAAAATTCATTTTAAATTTTTTTAATGAGGCATGATTTTTAATAGTATACTTTGTGGATTTAGAATTTTATTGTAATTTATTAATGTTTGTTTCCATAATTTACACTAAGAAAAATAGTCCGGGTCTAAAAGCTACAATAGATCAAATGTTATCGAGATTTAAGAAGAAACATACCAAATCTATATGAGTTAGCATCTACACATTCTCTAGAGCTGCAAGAACCCTAGATCAAAAAAAAAAAAAAAAAGCTTTTCAAATATATCATGAATCCAGACCACACTATTATGGAGCACGGCAAAAGGATCAGTAAGAAAAAAAAAAAAAGTTCACAATGGTCAAAAAATGATTGAGGAAGAAAATATAATAGCTTTGTGGGACACTCTCTTCTAGTCTTAAGAGGCAATTTGGTGAGTTATGACAAGTAAACGTTGCTTGCAAGTAAATGTGTTTAAATCTAAAATTAAATATTAGGATGACTTTGTGTATGAGT